TAGGAGGGTTAAGAAGAAGAAGGGGGGAGCAATAAGAAGGGGGGTAAGAAGAACAGGTGGGGGAGTAATACGACCAAGGGGGAAAGTAAGAAGAACACAGGGAGGAGGGGAGTAAGACGAACACAGGGAGGGTGAGGAGAACACATAGAGGGAGGAGTGAGAAGAACACAGGGAGGGTGGAGGGGGGGATGAGAAGAGCACAGGGAGGGTGGGTGAGTGTGAGAAGAGACCGCTAGGGGAGGGTGGGGGAGAGGAGAGACCACTAAGGTGCAGGGGAGAGCTCTACGGGACAGAAGGGGCAGCTCTATAGGACAGGGGTCAAGACAGGGAGCTCTTTCACACTACGCGTGCACACACACAATGCATCCCTATACATACACAGAAACACAACATGCTTCCCTTACACACAGAGAAACACACAATGCATCCATTACACACAAATGCATCCTTTGCACACATACACAGAAACACACAATGCAAACCCTTACACACACATGCAAACACACACACTGCTTTTCTTACATACACACAGAAACACAATGCATCTCTTACACTCAATGCACACACATACAGACACACACCTTGCATCCCTTATGCATACAAACACAGATTCACACAATGCATCCCATACACACAACCAGAAACACATAATACATCCCTTATACACAAATACACACTGCTTCCACTACACACAAACACACTGCATCACCTGCACAAACTGGTAACCCTATACACTACATACCATAAACACACATATTAGATCCTCTACAATAACACATAACACATCCCCTACACACTCCACTCCCTGTGAGCGTACTCATGGGTGGGTGGAACTTATGAGTGGGCCTTATGGGCATACACACCGTCAGGCCCTGGGGCTCAGACCTTGAGCTGTGTAAGGGGCCCCAAAAAATGGAGCTGCTTCCAATTCTCCCAGAACATTGAATTTTGTGACCACAGTTGCAAACAGCCTCCAGAGATCCTGTTCTACACCAGACCAGTGGAGCCAAACTGCAGCCCATCATGCACAAATTCTTGAAAAATTGGAAAGATCTGAGTGACTATGAAAAGGGCCAAATAGTGGCAGCTTGATGACTGGCTCAGAACATCTCCAAAATGGCAAGTCTTGTGTGGTGTTCCCGGTATGCTGTAGTTAGTACCTACTAAAAGTGGTGCAAGGAAGGGTCATGGACACCCAAGGCTCATTGATGCACATGGGTAGTGAAAGCCAGCCAGTCTTGTTCGATCGCATAGAAGAGTTACTGTAGCTCAAATTGCTGACCATGATGGAAAGGTGTCAAAACACACAGTGAATCACAGTTTGCTACTGTGATGACCTCTGTCCAATGAAAGGGCCTTCAATCGGGATGTGAGAAAGACCCCTTGAGGGTTGAAACGTCGATTTGATGCAGATCTAATTGTATATTTCTTTTTATTAAACCACGTATCCACTTTAAAGTCCTGTGCACCCCTTTTTTCTAATTGCCTATATTTGGACGCGGGTTCAGCACTCAGACCTCAAAACCAGATTTGTCGAGCATATACATATAGATACATATACATATAAATATATTCTTCCAAATAGGTAGCTGCACTCACGGATTTTAAAAGTCCAAAATGTATTAATAAATATTTAAAAGGCGATCAACGTTTCAGTCCTGCACAGAGGACTTTCATCAGGATCAAATACAAACATATACTGAACATTCATTACTTTTATACATAACATTAGTTAGATTAACTTACTTACTTACATATCCGTATGTACATAAACATTCCAAGATAAACAATTATCTCCATACTATTGTTGTCTTATAAACCATATATTTAGACTATTCATGTAAGTGCCACTTTAAAGCGTGGATCAAACCCTATACGTTATATTTTTATTTCTATGCCATTCAAGTGGCCATACTATGAGAATATCAACAATAGTATATCGTATATCCAAGAATATATATCCTAAAAGAAATAAATCCAAGCTGGAGCTTTGTGCCTAAGATGTTTATGCATATACTAAACTTTAGATGTACTTACACTTGTCCATATGGTTATAGTACATATTATCAGTGAGGAATTGATATGCTTTATATAAGATGTCACTTTAATGCACTTTTTTTGGATTTTTAATATATATTGATTGTTTATCACTATTAGCACTTTAATGCATAGGCATATGTCACTTCCTTAGTATCACTATATGGTGAGATTGCTCACTACTATTTCACAGGCACAGATAGTTCTCAGATGCCTGTCACTTTATTATCACAGGCATGGATTGCACTTAGACGCCTGTCACTTTATTGATACACTTCTATTCCATTCATGAGATACTCTATGGCTGCACAGTTTCATTCACACACACACACAACAATAAGCACACCACATAGCTACACATGCTATCATATATTTCATCTTCACGATCTGTCATTTAAGCATGCCCTCGATTTAATAGATATGCTTCACAATAAGCTGCTTGTTTTTATTCCCATAGCGACGCCGCAGTTACCCCGTCGCTATGGAAACTAGCACAACGTCATCACGCTATGACATCACTAAGAGGCGGAGCTTGGTTGCACAATGCACGGCAGAATGCTGGTTAGATGGCGGTTAGTTAATCTAACTAATGTTGTTTTGTATAAAAGTAATGAATGTTCAGTATATGTTTGTATCTGATCCTGATGAAAGTCCTCTGTGCAGGACTGAAACATTGATCGCCTTTTAAATATTTATTAATAAAGTTTGGACTTTTAAAATCCGTGAGTGCATCTACCTATTTGGAAGAATGGATAATACAGCCTTGGCTTGCTAGCACCCGGTTACAAAGGGACACTAAAGCATGAGTGCAAGAGCATTTTTGTGTGTGTATATATATATATATATATATTTTTTTATATTTATATTATTTGTGTAAGGGGCAAATAGCCGTATATGGAGTAAGGTTCCAGCATAAGCGTAGGATAGTATAAAGGGAGCAAGTCGGTTGTGGTGTGCCGAGACCAACGATACGGTAGGCCTGTAAATTAAGAGGGCCCACCAGGGAGTAAGAAAGTAAAGTAAATGGAAAGAAAAGAGAAAGTGTTGAAATGAGGAGTTGGTGGAAGGGTCATTCTGATGCTGACCTCAAGCGATATGGAGTCAGGTAAGGGGTGTCCCTTATATAGGGCAGTGAATTAATTTAAGCCCCTCCCTTAAATACAGGCCAAACGGCCTTAATACTTGTGTAATGGGCAAATAGCCATATATGGAGTGAGGTTCCAGCATAAGCTTAGGACAGTATAAAGGGAGCAAGTCGGTTG